AACCAATGGCTGCCCCCAAGCTGAAGACATCCAGAATTTAAGCCTATATAGGAATTTCCAACTTACATTTTAACCCAATTCTATATTCCTGTTTATTGTACATACTTGAATATAAGGTGGAGGTTTTTATTTTCTCGATTTTTTTCCCTCAGAGGTAAAAGGGTCACATTTAACTCCTTTAAAAATCTCTCATTTTACAGGGCACTTTCTCAATTATCTTATTTTAAGCATTGTTTGAGGAAGACACATTAATTTGAAACGACCTCAATCAATGTTTTGGATACTCATCAGTAAGAAAGAGGCCAGGCTATGGAACACGATTCTCCTAACTGTTGGCTATCTCACAACTGAGAGTGCTGAAAGTTGTCATAAATAAGACTTTCAAGATGATTACACTGTGAAGATCACAATGTGCACTTAAGGATAATTTTTACATGTTTTGAAAATGGTGTACTTTCCAGCGACAGCATCAAAACAGACTCAAACAGGTCTGCATCTCAAGCCACCTAGTCCGAAGTGAAGAAGAAACTGTATTCAAGTGGCTTTAGGAACGCTAAAGATGAATGAAAAAAGTTTGAATATAACTACTTCATGAAATGTGAATGAGGAAATCAATACTTCTAAGGTATTATCTTGTAAATTTTGTGATTTTAAATATGTTTGTGTAACTAATTCACTAAATTAAATATAAAGAGGGATGTGACCACTGCATCTATATTGCTACATGTTTTCATAAATCAAGTTGGCAAAACCCTTTTTTTGGTGGTGGAGGGGACATTTTCCCATTGAGAAGTGAGAGACCATCTTATGTAGGGTCATTTTACATTTGGGCATGGTCTAGAGAGCAACAGATTTGCTGAATCTGAATGTGATGAGGTCTGGTGTTTGACAAAAGGGAAGGAGAAGAAATGATATGAATGCCAATCTGCTTTGGGTTTCTTGTCAGGTATTCCATTTGTTTCATTGGGTAAAACTTGGGGTTCATTTCAGCCTGAGCAGAAGCATCACTTTTTTGGGGCTGACGAAAGGAGAGTAAAGAGCCCCTTCAAAAATTTCACCACTTAAAACTCAAAAGGTGATATACTGACATTCAGTACTGGCTGGGCAGTTAGTTATACCACAATAATACTGAACACATAATGAGTGCCTACTAGGCACTGTGCAAAGTGCTTTACATGCAATGATCACAACAATTTATTATCCTCATCTTAGAGACGAGGAAACTGAGTAACAGGTGAAGTAGCTTGCCCAAATCCCACAACTGGTAAATGATGGAGCTAAGATTTGAACCAGGCAATCTTACTCCAGAGCCTGCAGTCTGATGTCTGATGCTATACCACTTCAACAATTTAAAGAACAGAACCTATGAGAGAGTGTAAGCCTTTCCAGGGGTCCTTTCCACTATCCATAGCACCTCTTTTCCAGTATTAGGCATAGGAGAAACCAAATTAGTGATCTATAATAATCTTGGATTCTGAGCTCACTATTCTAGAAGAACAGTTGCTTCAAAACTTACCTGATGGCTGAATCCAACAGCGTTATTTTAGTCCTCATTTTTTGTATATTCATATTTTGATATCTGAATACCATCTATTAATTGTACATTGCTCGAACTCTTCCTTTGGCTAACAAAACAGTCCTCTTTCTTGATTCTCCTCTATCCTCAATGCTCATTCCTGCTATTCTCCTTCATTGTTCTTCCATCTCCTTTTAAGTGTGGAGGTTTCTTTTACCTTCATGTCCCAGGTAGTCTCATATATTGTCAAGGCTTTGTTTTCTACTTTTGGGCTCCCAACTTTATTTCGAACTTTTCTTCTAAACTTCAAAATCATCGTTCCAGCTGTTCCCAGGGACTGTTGGACATCTCCACTTGCATTTCAAATTCAATAGGTCCCCACAGGAACTCCCTCCCTCCTCTTCATCCACTGCCCAACCTTGCTCCCAAATCCGATCCTTCTTTTATAGTCCTCATTTCTGTTAATGGCACACTGTCTAACCAATCACACAAACCTGAAGGCTTGGACCCATCTAGGACTCTTCCTTATTTCTCATGATTTTCCCTTACTTGTATCCCCAACACACACACTCATTGGATCACCAAATTCTTTCAATTTTACTTTCTAAACGTCTCTGTAATCTGTTTTCTCTTTGCTATTTCCACCCCCATGATGAAAGCCTTCATCATGTCTTATTTGGACTATTGCAATGACCTTTTATTTGCCTCTTTTAGCTCAACTCCACCCTCTAAGCCCTTAAGTGAACGACCTTTCCAAAACATGAATCTGACCACAGCCACCCCTGCTTATATCTGCAACTCTTCTTCCACTACAGGACACCATCCTAACTGCACGGCCTGGTAGTAGGGCTCTTCACAACCAGATTCGTGCTACATTTCTAGTCTCATTCCTATCTCCTTCTCACGCCTTCTCCAGTCATCCCTCCCCATGTGAACTATAATCCAGACATTGGAGCTACATGCCACATTCTCTCACACCAACTGTGAGCTCCTTACTCATCTCTGGGCATCCCAGTTCACCATACTTGTACTGTTGGCTTCAGACTTTTTTTTTTTTTGTGAGGAAGGTCAGCCCTGAGCTAACATCCATGCTAATCCTCCTCTTTTTTTTTTTTTTTTTTTTGGGAACACCGGCTCTGAGCTAACATCTATTGCCAATCCTCCTCCTTCCCCCCACCAAAGCCCCGGTAGATAGTTGTATGTCATAGTTGCACGTCCTTCTAGTTGCTGTATGTGGGACACGGCCTCAGGATGGCCAGAGAAGCAGTGCCTGGGTGCGCGCCCGGGATCCAAACCCGGGCCGCCAGTAGCAGAGCGCGTGCACTTAACCGCTAAGCCACAGGGCCAGCCCAGCTTCAGACTTTTTAAAGAAATGTGGTTCCAGGCATTTTAAGGCACTTTGCAATAATCTCTCATCCTTTCAACAACTCTACAAGGTTGCACAGTACTATTGCCTCCATTGAACAGGTGAAGAACCAGACTCCAAGCAGCTAAGGAAACTGAAAGGTTACTTATAAGGAACTAGTAAGTGAATGAGGCAAAATTTGAAGCCAGGTCAAGCTGGCTCTAAAACCTGTGCTTTAGCTGAGACCAACCCTGAAAGTCTTGCTGATTACATCTAACTCCATAATTTCACCTGCAAGGGAACAACCAGGAAGCAACATCATTGCTTTAGGTTCCCATAGGTGCAGCCCACAGGATGTACATAGGTGGGTCACTTTGGGATGTGGCAAGTACCATACTTTCAGTCCAACTTCCACTACATCCCAACATTCCATGAATGGAAAAGCATGTGTGCTCACTCCTAACACCAAACTTATCACACTCTCATTGAACCACAAAATGAACCGTTTGAGGAGGGAGCTAATATGTTAAGCGGCCTGTCTCCAAGGAAGGACAAAGTCTGCAAATGAGCCCGAACACTGCTTCTGACTTAATGGTCTAGATAGAATGCTCAGAGCTTGTCCATCCTTGAGAAGCGAGAGTCTATGCTCTGTCCTCTTGAGTCTGATTTTATCAAGCGATTGATAACATCCTACATATTTGTTTCTGTTGTCTAATTCTAATACACACACATACACTCAACTATAGCCAAACAGAAAATTGCCTCAATAATTACCCATTATGTAAAACACATGTATCTCTTCCCTTATTACTTTTATAATGTGGTCCCAAAAGCTCCAGCCTAAGCACCCCTGGATCAAGTGTCAGATGTGTCTCTGCCAGCAGCTGCTTGTGTGGCTTTGCACAAATCCATTTCCATTTTTTCATTGTTTAAGTCAAGGGATTCTAGTAGTTGATCCATAAGCATCCTTTTGAATTCTAATATTCGGAGGCTATCCTTACTTTTAGGCTGTTTCTCACTATGTTAAGCCTATTTTATCCTATTTCTCTAAGGGAACCAAACCTACATCTTCATTTTCACAAATGGTTTTTAAAATGGTAGTCAAGGATGATGAGTTGGAAGTTAATTCCAAGATTATTTTAGACAAAAAAGGACTGTATCAATGCATTCAACACATGCTAAAATATTCATGTCATTCAAATACAATTCAGGTCAGCATCACCTAGACTGCACGGTAATAAATGGAATGTCTAAGATAATTCCATGTGCACGTGAATGTTGTCTCATATTCACCCATGCACATGTGTGAAAATGGCTCTTGGACCTACTGAAATGATTATTGAAATGCCATCAGGTGCAGGAAGCGATATAAACATGAAACTTCACAGTAATTATACAAGCAAATATCATTGGTAAAACTAAGTGACAAGGAAAACACCCGTTTTGTGTTGTCATACCTGACACATGCGTATGGTAAAGTTTCTAGGTTCTCATAAAGTTTTGTTTACATGACCTGAACTTCTCACGACATGACAGCCACTGGATGCCCTAGATAAGATCAAATGATCTATGACATAGGTGCCCAATATATGCCTGGTGAATGACTATTATGTGAAAATACTATAAAAAGTAACGTTATGCAAAAGCAAAGCATTGTTAAGACTCTTAAGTCTCATTTTCCATCCCAAAGACTGGAACGGGTATTCCAGAACGATTATTAAAGAGGTTCCTTTTCAATCTTTGTGGCGTTCACAGCCACAGAACACATTTCCACCAAAATCCCATCAATAAAAACACACAATGGGAAAAGAATTTATATACCAACATATTACTGACATTACCGATCAAACGGGCTCCTTAATCAAAAAAGCAATCAAGAAGGAAGATTTTTGAAGTAAGGAAAACCCTAGTTTGGCACACCTATTGGCTTCGCGTCTTTAAATCAGACAGCTTTATAGAATATTAGTCTTATTTAAAACCCATCTCTCGAGAAGCCCCAAATGGGGGAGGCGGAGGGAGCTCTAAAGAGGTTCTCCACAGAGTGGCAATCCTCCGAGGTACATTCAGCCATCACGGTCTGCAGAGAAAGGCCGCTTCACCGCCCAGGGCTGCGACGTTTCCTCCTGGAAGCCGACTCACCTTCCCTCCTGGAGGTGGCCCGGGCTGCAGGCAGGAGGAGCGAGAAGCAGAGGCAGCAGCTCAGCCAGAGCGCAGGCATGGCCGGGCCGGGCGCGCTCCGCCGCTGCAGGGGTCGCTGCCCGCGCCTCGCGGCTGGGAGTTTTCACTCTGCGCTCCGCTGTGCCTTCCTTTTCCTTGGTCAGGTGGTTTTATCGACTCTTCTACCTGACTCAGACCTGACAGGAAGAGAGCCTGTGTTTCAGGGTGTGACTCACCTGTGAATAAGGAGAACCCAACCCTCGGGAGGCAGGCAGACAAACACAGCACACATCGAGCTGTTAAAGCGCTCACCCCGCCGCCGGCTCCCCCCTCGCCGCAAGGAGGGCGCACACCTGGCCCCGACCAAGGGTGTGGCGCACAGGCTGCGGCCCAGAGATCTTTCTGGAGGAATGTGCCAGATCCTCCTCAAGCCCTCCTTCTCTCTGGGGGTGGTCTAGGACAGAATTCACAGAGATAGCTAGCAGCCTGCCCCTTCCTAAAACTGGGAGGCCCAGTCTCAAGTGCGCGAACTCAGAAATAAGTCAGCAGCGCTGATCAGCTCTGGTCTAAAAGTCATCAAGGAAAATAGGCCAATCCGAGAGTCACAACAGGGTCCTCTTCGCCCTCTGGCCTAGGTTCAACCTCTCTCTGAAATACAGCAACTCCACCCCAACCCACCCATTCTGCTAACACCTCATTCTTTCCCTCACCATCACCAGGCTGGACCAAGGGCTCCTCTCCTGGGTCCCTGGAACTTCTTGGTCACCTGGGCTAGCAATTCATTATGTCACTTGTTGACTGGTCAGTGTCTCTGTGAAGGCTAGGTACTACTGTGTATCCCTAACAACCAGTACAGTCTCTAGCCCGCAGTCTGTGCTCAATAAGTGTTCTGTTGAATAAGAAAGAGGATCCAGAGTTCCTATTCCTTTTACATCTTAGAGCATATTTCCCATGCCATTCTCTGTGGGCCCATTAGAAAATGTTTGTTGAGACCAACTGTGAGTACCATCCACATCCACTGTGCAAGGTGAAGTGGGTGATATCCAAAAATTGCAAATCGTGGTATATCCTACATCGTCCCTTTCCCTAAGGAGGCTGGTGGCAATAATTCAGAGAGGTTGCTGTCAAAGAGAAAGCCGTGGTTCCTACTGGAGATTTAAAAAGTACCAGAAGTTTATATATACACAATATATACACAATCTGTCCAAAACAACCGCCGACTTTTCATCATCAAGGCCTGCAAAGGCCCCCAATACATTATTGTTCACTCACTAAATGAATGAATGTTCTCTAGATAGTTCTATAGATGATAACATAAGGCAACAAACAATACAAAATAGTACATGATTAAATGTCAGCGGGTATAAGAATTTCAGTTTATGCAAACACAGAGGTAAAGAGAACAGATTGATGGTTACCAGAGGCGAAGGGGACGGGGCGGGGGGGGGACGACAAAGGGGTAAAGGAGCACATTTGTATGGTGACAGATAAAAACTAGACTATTGGTGGTGTGCATGATGCAGTCTATACAGAAACTGACATATAATAATGTACACGTGAAATTTACACAATGTTATAAGCCAATATGGCCTCAATAAAATAATTAAAAAGAATTTCAGTTTGTGCATGTCATCAAGACCAGTTGGGCTAACTGGGATAGCAAGGCATGGCTTTGTACAGTACGTGAAGCATGAAATGTGTGTTCAGAAATAACCGGGATCTGAAGACAGCATCAAAGAACCACAGGGGCAAGACAGATTACTGCAAACTGGTTGATCCCTAATCTAAAACCTCCAGCAACAAAAAATGAGGAATAGAAAGGAAACTCCAATTTTCTCATCCCAAGCTCTATTCTCTTCTACTTTGTCCAGGATTCAAACAAATAACATAAAGATTCTTCCCTCTCAAACCTCATGGTGTCCAATTACTGCTAAAGTTTCGGGTCATAGAGACCAAGTATTTAGAATTTTCCCTTCTAGTAGCTGGTACATTGCAGAGGTTGAAATCACGTCCCTGAGGACCCAGATCCTTGCACTTCTACCCGTTAGTGTTGTGCAGTGAATGTCCCACAGTCCTGCAGGAACAAGGAAGAGGGACCTGCAAGATAAAGTCTTGAAGGTAAAGTTCGTTTTAGTACAGATTAATGTGGTTTGTTATATCTCAAAAGTTGGAACAGATATTTTCATCTACCATCATTTTTGGATGTGATAATAATAATAGCTAACACATACATAGTACCTATTATTTGCCATCACTGTTGTAAGTCTTTTATACATAATAATCCTTTAATCTTAAAACAGTGCTATGAAATAGGTGTACTATTAATTTCCCCGTTTTACAGATGAGAAAACAGAGGCACGGAAAGATCAGGCAACATGCTCAAATTCACACTGCTAGTAAGTGGCAAAGCCAAGATTCAAAACCAGGCAATCTAGTTCCAAAGTCCATAAACTCTTTGTTAGGTCAGATTAAAAAGCACCATAAAAAAGACAGATTCACAATACTGAATGAATTCAATACGCAGTCAATGGTTATTGATAACATCCGTTACAACTCAACCAGATGATGGACTACTGGTCCACACCAATAAAGCCAAGTCACACGGACTGTGAATAATATTTCTGATTTCCCTAATATGTTCGCTCTGAAAGGACTCCCAGAGGTCGCCTGGACCTGGGGTAGAATATGGGCAGCAGGCCCCTGGGTACCAGGCCCACCAGCACCCTCTTTTAGGTGAACAGTACGCTCCAGTTTTTCTCAGCTCCTCCCTCTTTTCATTGCCTTATTCTAGGCCTCCTCATACATCTAAACAGCCAGACAGGTCTCAGAGGATGTGAGACCTCTGCTCTGGCTTAATCTCCTACCTTGCTCAGGGACAATACCAACCCCCTTTGACAATTTGAGAATTCTCTCATGCGCTGCTGGGGTTGAGCGCTCTAGTAGCCGAAAGTCAAGGCTCTGGAGCAGATTCCCAGGGCCAAATCCTGGCTTCACCTCTCATTGAGGCAGGTTACTTAGTTTTCTCTGAGCTTCAGTGTCTTCATCTGTAAAATGGGGATAATAATAGAACACTCACCCTTAGAGTTGTTGGGAAAATTAATTGAGTTAATAAGCTATCTAGTGCTCAGAGCAGCACCAGGCATTTAACATGCATTATACAAGTAAGGTATAATAATTATTTCTATTATTGTTGCTATTAATATTATCACTAAGCACCATCAGTTTTTACTTGTTGTGATTACTGACAAATACCCATATGAGAAAGACAGGGTTTTTTTCCTTCAACTCTTCTGCTAATCGACTATTCATTCATAATTTTAAACTTCTGTGAAACTCTCAGTCCAATCCAAATTCATGTCCAGTTTACCAACATTTACTTGGAAGTTGTTACTTAATCTGTATTTCTGCTACATGTCTGGAAATTTCTGTTACATTCAGATTTGCCTGTCCAATGTTTCAAAATTTGTGCACTTAGAATTTCATTTTAAATAAGGTGGGGTGGGATCTGACATTTCAGGGAAAATGTAAAGGTAAGATGGATTTGAATGTACTCTTATGATTAACTGTAATTAACATGTGTTTTTCAAAAAGGCAACAAAAATCAATTTGCTTTTCCATATCAGCCAAATAAATATTTTTTCAAATCCAGACAAAAATCAACTTGATGTACACATAAAAATGGTTAAGATGATAAATTTTATGTTATGTGTATTTTTAACACAATAAAAAACTGTGAGGGCCTGCCCCGTGGTGCAGCGGTTAAGTGCGCGCACTCCACTTCAGGCGGCCCCGGGTTTGCAGGTTCGGATCCCGGGCGCGCACTGACGCACCGCTCGTCAGGCCATGCTGTGGCGGCGTCCCATATAAAGTGGGGGAAGATGAGCATGGATGTTAGCCCAGGGCCAGTCTTCCTCAGCCAAAAGAGGAGGATTGGCATTGGATGTTAGCTCAGGGCTGATCTTCCTCAAAAAAAAAAAAAGTGAAAAAACATCAGCTTGATACTCAGCAATAGAAAGGAATGAACTACTGATACATATAGAACATGGATGAATTTCAAAGCATTGTGTTAAGTCAAAGAAGCCGGACACAAAAGACCAGAATCTATATGATTCTATTTTTTTTTTTTTAATTTATTTTTTCCCCCAAAGCCCCAGTAGATAGTTGCATGTCACAGCTGCACATCCTTCTAGTTGCTGCATGTGGGACATGGCCCCAGCATGGCCAGAGAAGCGGTGCGTTGGTGCACGCCCGGGATCCGAATCCGGGCCGCCAGCAGAGGAGCGCGTGCACTTAACGCTAAGCCACGGGGCCGGCCCTATATGATTCTATTTATATGAAATTCTAGAAAAGGTAAAACTACAAGGAAAGAAAACAATCATTGGTTGCCAGGGACGGGGGCTGACTGCAACGGAGCATGAGGATAAATTTTTGGGATGAAAGAAATATTCTGAAATATGATAGTGGTCAAAAGTAATCAAATTGTACACTTAAAATAGATAAATTTGATTGTATATAAATTATACCTCAATAAAACTGGTAAAAAAGAGAAAATCTCAGAAAATCATACGACAATTAAGATGATACTTCTTCAATTCAAATGTATAAACTCAAACCCAGGAATAGAAACATCCCAGTGTCTGCATAAGTTGTGACAAAGCCACAGCATGGAGTCCAGCCAAGGCATCCCACTGGTTCTGGTAAATTCTAAGGAGCTTCAGGCAGAAGGCCATCTCAGGTCTTCAGGTAGAAGTACCACCCAAGACTTGCAGGGGGACCCCTTTTCTGGAAATCTGTCTATTTTGGCAATTTACAAAAGGTAAGAGATGCCTTTCTGAAATGTTTGCTTAGAGGCACAAATTTTAAACCCATCGGGACTTTTGTTCTAGTAAGTAGCACTTGGATTTTCCTCTTATCTTCCCCAAAGTTGTCACACTCATCTAGAGTGTAACCCCTGGTACCAGGGAGAAGAATGTTCTATGCAGATGTTCTCTGCTCCAGACACTGAAAGGCACTGGGGCATTTCCACGGGCGTGCCCGGAGGCGGGAAGGCCAAGGCCCTGGAAGTCCGTTTTGTCCATTGTTTCATTTGCACCTCAGTCATCAACCACGGGACTTTTCTTTTTATAATGCTGTGTAAATCGCTTCACAGAACTGTCGTCTCTCCCCCTCAACCTCCCACAAAGAATTGCAAGTGACATGTTGATTTTTGCTTTGAGTTCCATTATTACCTTAGTTAACTTTCAGAAGGAATGTCTGGCATGTCACCAGCTTTCAAACTCACTTATGATAAAAACTGAAGCACGGGTTGTTAACATGCCAGCAGTAGACAGGGCCGTTGGTCTCATTCCCTGCCCTTAATCTCCCCAGACAGTTCTAATTATGTCAGCATTTGCATAAAAATTTTAAATGTAAAATACA